TTCCCCACCCTTATCCCTCCCTTCCCTCTCATTCTCCCCTGTCCCTTTCCCTTTGGTAACTGTTAGTCCATTCTTGGGTTCTATGATTCTGCTGCTGTTTTGTTCCTTCAGTTTTTCTTTGTTCTTATTCTCCACATATGAGTGAAATCATTTGGTATTTATCTTTCTCTGCTTGGCTTATTTCACTGAGCATAATACGCTCTAGCTCCATCCATGTTGTTGCAAATGGTAGGATTTGTTTTCTTCTTATGGCTGAATAATATTCCATTGTGTATATGTACCACGTTTTCTTTATCTATTAATCTACTGATGGACACTTAGGTTGCTTCCATTTCTTGGCTATAGTAAATAGTGCTCCAATAAACATAGGGGTGCATATGTGTTTCTGAAACTGGGTTCCTGTGTTCTTAGGATAAATTCCTAGGAGTGGGATTCCTGGGTCAAATGGTATTTGTATTTTTAGTTTTATGAAGAACCTCCATACTGCTTTCCACAATGGTTGAACTAGTTAACATTCTCACCAGTAGTGTAGCAGGGTTCCCCTTTCTACGCATCCTTGCCAGCATTTGTTCTTAGTCTTTTCAATGCTGGCCATTGTTACTGGTGTGAGGTGATATCTCATTGTGGTTTTAATTCACATTTCTCTGATGACTAGTGATGTGGAGCATCTTTTTATGTGCCTGTTGGCCATCTGAATTTCTTCTTTGGGGAATTGTGTGTTCAGATCCTCTGCCCATTTTTTAATTGGATTATTTGCTTTTTGTTTGTTGAGGTGCATGAGCTCTTTATGTATTTTGGATGTCAACCCTTTATCAGATATGTCATTTATGAATATATTCTCCCATACTGTAGGATGTCTTTTTTTTTCTACTGAAGGTGTCCTTTGCTGTACAGAAGCTTTTCAGCTTGATATAGTATCACTTGTTCTTTTTTGCTTTTGTTTCCCTTGCCCGGGGAGATATGTTCATGAAGAAGTCGCTCATATTTATGTCGAAGAGATTTTTGCCTATATCTTTTTCTAAGACTTTTATGGTTTCATGACTTACATTCAGGTCTTTGATCCATTTCGAATTTACTTTTGTGTATGGGGTTAGGCAATTATCCAGTTTCATTCTCTTACATGTAGCTGTCCAGTTTTGCCAACATCAGCTGTTGAAGAGGCTGTCATTTCCCCATTGTATATCCATGGCTCCTTTATTGTATATTAATTGACCATATATGTTTGGGTTAATATCTGGACTCTCTATTCTGTTCCACTGGTCTATGGGTCTGTTCTTGTGCCAGTACCAAATTGTCTTGATTATTGTGGCTTTGTAGTAGAGCTTAAAGTTGGGAAGTGAGATCACCCCTGCTTTGTTCTTCCTTCTCAGGATTGCTTTGGTTATTCGGGGTCTTCTGTGGTTCCATATGAATTTTATAACTATTTGTTCCAGTTCTGATAGGGCGTCTTATCCGAGAAGTTAAAAAGAATGGGAATATAGAAACGACCATCGGTTTTGAAAATTGGGTACTATGAGCAGTTTGTCAGAATAGCTTCAACAATGGGTAAAGAAGAAACACAGACTTTATGAGATTAAAAAGGTATGGGATTAGGATGGCCAACATCCAATAGAGAAGAAGCAACAAATGCTAGCCAGCATGCGGAGAAAGAGGAACCCTCATATACTGTTGGGAATGTAAATTAGTTCAACCATTGTGGAAAGCAATATGGAGGTTCCTGAAAAAACTACAAATGGAAATACCATTTGACCCAGGAATTTCATTCCAGGAACCCCTTACCTAAAGAAAACAATATCCCTAATTCAAAAAGAGACATGCACCCCTATGTTTATCGCAACACTGTTTACGATAGCCAAGATACAGAAGTAACCTAAGTGTCCATCAGTAGATGAATGGCTAAAGAAGGTGTGGTACATCCACACAATGGAATATCATCTAGCCATAAAAATATAACAGATTCTACCATTTGCAACATGTGGTTGGAGCTAGATGGTATTATGCTTAGTGAAATAAGCCAGGTGGAGAAAGACAAGCAGCAAATGATTTCACTCATTTGTGGATTACATCAACAAAGCAAAACCAAAGGAAAAAACAGCAGCAGACTCACAGACTCCAAGAATGGACTAGAGGATACCAGAAGAGGGAGATTGGGGAGGATGGATGGGGAGGGAGAAGGGGATTAAGGGGCACTGTAATTAACACTCACAATATAGGTAGGTCATGGGGAAGGCGGTACAGCCCATAGAAGACAAGTAATGACTCTATAGAATCTTACTATGCTGGCAGACAGTGACTGCATTTGTGGAGGGGCACTTGATAATATGGGTGAATGTTGGAGCCACTATGTTAATGTGAAACCTTCATAAGATTGTGTATCAATGATATCTTAATTTTAAAGAAAGGTGTGGGATTGTTGGAGAAACAGAAGCAATGGATAAAGACTCTGATGAAGAAGTTTGGAAAGGACAAACAGTGTAGTCAAGT